AGCATTAACTATGCGTTGCTGATATTAATCTGACCTCTTTCGACATTTTAAGTTGTAAAAAACACAACAAGATGTATAAAGGTTACAGTCATCTCTCAGCTCGGGACCTCAGGTTCCACCAGTTGACTGGCATGATCTGGTGATGTTTCAGCCTCGATGGGCTCGGGTTTCGGGGAAATGGATTTATCTAATATAGTGTAACCAAATGTAGTGAAACTCACCACATACTATTGAAAAGGGCTATGTGTTGTTAGCCAGATTAAAAATGTCAGTGGGATTTTGAATAGAATTTTCTTTCTTCCACAACACGACCCCGAAATTCCAGTTTCACTTCAGCTCTTTATTTGGTTGAGATGTGCTGATTGACCAGAGCATATGATTCACATCATTTTCATACTCAAACCATTCAGTGACCCCTCATGCCCTGTGGATGGACTGTCATCCTAGAGGAGACCACACTCCCATCAGGACTTAAACGCAGTGTGCCTTCCCTAACCATGACAGCAAAATCCAAAACAGTGCATAAGAGAGCCATTGGATCCCCTCAGAGAGGTCAAGCATTCAGGTTTTCAGTTGACACTACACTAGTCCAGTGTCAATGAAAACAGCTGAGAGGAGGTGAGTATTTATATCCGCTGCCTCACTGACAAACACAAGGCATCAGTCAGAAGTTATTCAGAGGAAGGGAACGGTGGATCTGCATAAAATTCAACAACTTATTCCTTGAAAAAGCCTCCCATGTTAATTTGGTGTTACAAGGAAGTTGTGTGTTGTGATGACTGATCTTAAAATGTGCGTGGATGTTGTGCAAGATAGTCAAAGAGAGCAGAAAATAAGATGGGCACCACAACAAAGAGGCCCATTTAGTGTATGTAAGTGAACAACACACTGCCGCGGGGTCTGTCATTTCAAAGCAGTGGGTCAGACTTGGCCAAATTAACCACCTGAAGATCCACAGTTCCTTTTCCCAATAAATTTCTTTGCTTTTCCATATTCTTAAGACAGTAATAATGACGTAATAGGGAACCCGTGATCAACTGAGCAGGAAGCTGTGGCTCGGCTCGATGAGCACTGTGCTCAAAGATCAAGATCAGAGATGTTGCAGGAGAAATACTGATGCAGGCAGGAACTCACCAGGTTATGTCAGTGTTGCACTGCTCTCACATACTCTGGTTCTTTTTCTGTCACTCACACATATGCTCAATGTATTGATGGTTTGCACTTTCTTATTGACAGGTAGTTTCTGTTAGTCAGGTCGGGAAAAAGCACTGTCCAAATGTGCTAAGAATTTCCACATGGCTGCAAGACTGTGCTGTCAGAACTGGAACTCGGGGAAAAAAAAAAATTGGGGGGTTGTCGTATGTTGTATGTATAGGCTGCAAAACCTTCTGAGGTAAATTTGTGACTTTGGGTTCTATAAATAAAACAGGCATGACGAGAACTACGGCTGTCTCTTGTAACATTCAAAATGAACAGATGGGTGACAAATTTAAAGGAAAACCAGCATAAAGTGTCTCAGTAAGGTGTTGGACCATCATGTGCCGCTAGAACAGCTTTAAGGTGCCTTGGCATTGATTCTAAAAGTCTCTGGACCGTTGGAGGGATGAACACCATTCTTCCAAAAGATATTCCTTAACTTGGTGTTTTGAGGATGATGTGTTCTACAGAGAGCCAAAGTCATGTTGTCACATCTGGTTAGTCTCTGTTCCACAAGCTTCAGTGACTCTATGCAATCTCCCATTTAGCATTTTTGTCATCAGTCACTGTAAGAAAACTACAGTAAGCACATTCCTCTGGATTGTTTTTTCATACTCTAAAATAAGCCACCAGCCATTACAACACTCATTACTGAAAAATGAAACTTCTGTGGTTTTAACAAGGCCGATTTTTTTTTGTATTGGAAAAACTACAGTTCCTGTTACCACTTTGCAGCACAGTGGTACACATATTACACATCACTGTAACTTGCCAGACTCTTCTGGCAACCCAGTCTCACAGCATTAACTATGCGTTGCTGATATTAATCTGACCTCTTTCGACATTTTAAGTTGTAAAAAACACAACAAGATGTATAAAGGTTACAGTCATCTCTCAGCTCGGGACCTCAGGTTCCACCAGTTGACTGGCATGATCTGGTGATGTTTCAGCCTCGATGGGCTCGGGTTTCGGGGAAATGGATTTATCTAATATAGTGTAACCAAATGTAGTGAAACTCACCACATACTATTGAAAAGGGCTATGTGTTGTTAGCCAGATTAAAAATGTCAGTGGGATTTTGAATAGAATTTTCTTTCTTCCACAACACGACCCCGAAATTCCAGTTTCACTTCAGCTCTTTATTTGGTTGAGATGTGCTGATTGACCAGAGCATATGATTCACATCATTTTCATACTCAAACCATTCAGTGACCCCTCATGCCCTGTGGATGGACTGTCATCCTAGAGGAGACCACACTCCCATCAGGACTTAAACGCAGTGTGCCTTCCCTAACCATGACAGCAAAATCCAAAACAGTGCATAAGAGAGCCATTGGATCCCCTCAGAGAGGTCAAGCATTCAGGTTTTCAGTTGACACTACACTAGTCCAGTGTCAATGAAAACAGCTGAGAGGAGGTGAGTATTTATATCCGCTGCCTCACTGACAAACACAAGGCATCAGTCAGAAGTTATTCAGAGGAAGGGAACGGTGGATCTGCATAAAATTCAACAACTTATTCCTTGAAAAAGCCTCCCATGTTAATTTGGTGTTACAAGGAAGTTGTGTGTTGTGATGACTGATCTTAAAATGTGCGTGGATGTTGTGCAAGATAGTCAAAGAGAGCAGAAAATAAGATGGGCACCACAACAAAGAGGCCCATTTAGTGTATGTAAGTGAACAACACACTGCCGCGGGGTCTGTCATTTCAAAGCAGTGGGTCAGACTTGGCCAAATTAACCACCTGAAGATCCACAGTTCCTTTTCCCAATAAATTTCTTTGCTTTTCCATATTCTTAAGACAGTAATAATGACGTAATAGGGAACCCGTGATCAACTGAGCAGCTATGCCCATGGGGAATAACCATATGAAAGAATAACACCCTCTCCAGGCTGTTTAGATCACACTTTAAACATGCACATATGGACAATTTTAAACTATGACTACTTAAGCACTTATAATTACAGAGTGATAAGAACACAGGAAGTTTATATGTTATTTTTTTTTAAGTTAAGAACTGTGTTGAGAAAAAATCGCCATGCCTGGCTAGTACTGAAACAGTTGAGGAAGGTGGTAATTGTGGCTTGTAATGTTAATCAAAATCAATTAAAGTTTCTCCAAAATTCACAGCCCTATAGCACAAATAAAGCTGATCCTCATGGTTTTGCTTGGAAGAAACTGGTGGCAGTTTTTCAAAGAATAAGCTAGCACAAGGAGGAATGCTAACAAACTGTTACCAGTATGCCCCATACTGGAGCAGAGTATGAAAAATACATTTGGACAGTCACAGTGAGCGCAAAATTCCTCTGAAGTAGAAACTAAAAATTCCAGTGAAAACACTGCTGTGTGACAAAATAAACATGATGTGATGTTTACACTAAAGGGTCTGCAATCACTAATGCAGCTGTCATGACATTAAACCTCTAGTTCCTCAAAGCCACACCCTACCGACTACAGCTGATACAATGTGAGAGTCATAATTATTAAACTTGGACCAGGGACATCCCCTCATGATGTGGACATTATTACATTCTCCACAGCTGTTTTTTATTCCACACCTGCACATATCGCATGTTACAGATGATCAATCATGTGCACAAAGATTAACGTCCAGCACCTGCCAGATGGTGGGAAAACAACATCTGGATGGGCAGGAATTAGACTATGACAGAAGCTTTTTCATGAACTCTGATATATTGAATATACTGTATGTGGTAAATGTCTCATCTATGGCAAAGAGATACATTGGTGCTACAACTGCTTCACTACCAGTTAGCACGAGCTAATAAACAGTAACTACACACCACATTTATGCTTATTATTATAGCAGGTCGGTGTGATCACATAATTATCACTTTGTATATGGAGAAGTTTTGTTTTTGATGGAAAGACCATAGCAGAGTGTAATATAGGTAGTTAGGGCAAATCATTGGCTCAGAGGTGAAACGACTGCTCTCCTCTGTTTACATTACAGCATACAAATAATCTGGCACTTTTATTCAACATGCTTTTTTTTTAGTAGACTAATTCCTTCCCCAGATGAAAACCATTTTCATGCACAAAAGATCTAAAGCAGAAACTGTGGCAAAAACACAAAACCGAGCCTCTGCATCTCCTACTGCCATTTAAAATGGTCCATACTGGGAATAGGAATTTCCAGCATTTAAATACAAGAGGCAGAGGACCAACCCTTTCTTTAACAAAACAAATGAAGAGAAAAATCAATAACACTCTCAGACACTGTGTCCGTTTATTTGGCAGGGATGTTCCCATTCCACTCTCTCTAACAACAAATGGAAAACACACAATTGCAATGACATCATGTGGATGGACCTCTGCTGCAGAATTCTTGTGAAAACTAAGACAAACACTGTTCCAAATAACATGAAAAAGCAAAGTGGGAGAAGGATAAAGGGGAGGTGTTATTTTGCTTTGTACTGCTCGTATGCCTTATAAATGAAGCCACATTCAATTAATTTAGTCAAGATACAATAGCCCCATATTATATTGTAGATACTGTACTGTTTATGTGTAATATACAATACCAGAAATATAGTGACAAATGGCCATCACTTCCCAGATCAGAAGGTAATGTTTTCTAATGTCTTGTTTATTCCGACAGACAAGCTAAAGCCTAAAGGCATTGTACTAAAAATGATATAAAAGAGAGAAAAGCCGAGCGCCTTTGCCATGTTTGATCATTTTTGTTTGATATATTAATCAACTTTTTTGATTATTTTCTGTTAACCCATTGGTTGACTAATCATTTCAGCACAATATAATACTAGCAGCCAGGATAGCTCAGGACTTCCTACCGTGGTTGTCGTCAGACTGGTTGAACCCACACAGCTGGCAGATGGAGCGAACCCACTTGTTCATCTCTTCTTCGGTTTCAGCTACAAGATAAAAGGTGCGGTCTGACGTCTTGATGTCAAACACAAAGCTGTCCTGGAATTCCCTCCTCTTAAAGGTGAGGCCAGCATCCACCTGCTCACAGAAGTGCAGGTCGATGACTCGGATGGGTTTCTTGGAGTGGTCGTTCTTGTAGTACTCTAGAACATTAGGGTCACCGCTCATGCGACCACTGCGAAGTACAAACCAACGTTTCTTCCATGCCTGGGAAATGAAATTGAAACGTAAGAACATGATCTCAGTAAAAAAAAAGAAAGCAAGTTTATTCAGTGTTAACCTTATATTTCAAATTTAAAATAAAATTTCTTCTACCCAGATGCAATCTACATTTTAATGAATCAACAATTATACAGATTCAGTTTAAATTTCTTACAGAGCTTAATGCGTAGCAACACACTCAACTGCTGGACTTTGATTGTTGTGTTAACTGTGGATCAAACAGACACACTAAAGAGAGAGAAACTAAATTCTGCTTGCTTGAGCAGGTTGAGCTTTAGCATGCATGTGGTTATGTGTGGTTTGTATATGTGTTGGAGCTTGGTGACGGGGGCAGCAGGTGCTTACTCCCTCTCAACGTATTTCCTGTGCTGATATCCCTCCGTGAGCTAAGAGAGAAGCATAGCTCCTTCATGACAACTTCATTGCAAGATGCCAGGCTCCTCCCACTTCAAGAAATGGTGACTGACACTGGTTTGGTCCAACCAAAGCCAAGCTACATCTGCACATGATCATGTCACTGGAGCTGGAATTTCCTGAGAGTGTAAATAAACATCCCTTGTCATAACCACATAAAAGGCAATAATGCAAGCGCAGGAAACGTACAACGGGACATGTCGATTTCACACTAATAACACCATTGTTGTAACTGGAAAAGCACAGAGGAAGAACAGTGGCCTTGATTACAACAGCTCCATACGTTCTCCCAGTGTCTGACTTAAAGGGACTCTGTGTTCTGTGTGCACACAGACAAAAGAGGAAGATAGAGCAGGAAGGGAAAGGGGGAGTAAAGGGGGTTGGGGCTTCTGGACATCTGCCAGTGATGCACTTCCGCCAGGCAATGTCTCTCACATGCAGGCTGCTGACACACAAGATCCTGCAGGCTCCCTCTGTCTCCAACAACTCAGACACTGCTGCAGGGTTCACCAACCTTTAAGTGTGATTAAATCTATAAATAAAGATTTTTGCTCAAGAAACTGGTTAGTGAAGTTAATGGCCCTGGCATTTGTCTCGACTTTTCCCAGATCATAAGAAATATACCCTGACAATACCAATATCTGTCATGTGTGCTATGAGTATTTAGGATCAAATGTGATGAATGGAAAAACAAAAATGAATTGGGAAGATGTTGAAAACCTTTAGTTTAAACTGATCAACAACTGATAGCACACAGTGCTGAAAAGCTGAATAAATATGATGGGGCTGCTCCGATGTCTCTGAATTACTTGTTTGGTCAAACCAACAGTATAAAAATAGTCAATTTACAATCATATCAGCACTACTATACTATATTAAAGAAAATCTTAATTGGCCTTCAATGATGTGAACATAGTAATGATGATGATGATGATAATTGGTAATGTATCATAATGACTCCTATGGTATATCTGTTGAGAAAAGATTTGTTTTTACTGAAGTGTTATTTTGGCATGTTGGCAGTTGTGAAGTCAACACAGCTGAGAAGAGGCAGCAACATGTTTTCAGTTTTTTTTTTTCCAGGAAGTGCAGACTATGATCTTATCTTCAGTTTGTAACTCAAGCGGAGAAATTGGGGTATAAGATTTTGTACAGTATTTTCTTCCACACTGATAAAAACCACAGGACGACCTTAATATTGTTAATAGAAAAGCCATGCTGCTGTGCACATCTTATCACTTGTCCCAGTCTCAAGAAGCAGAAAAATGTGTGCACAGTAACAGTTTTAATCAACACTGATGACTTAAGCAGTTGTGTGGAACCTGCATATTAGACCATTTCTCACTATGAATGTTCAGCAGTGCAGACTGATCTGGTGAAGGATGTGAGAAAACAGTTTCCATAAAAAGTGTTACTCCTCAAGTTTCCTTCTAAAGAGTTGCATTGAACAGTGAACTTCCTCGTTTCAAAAAACAACAACACACTTCTCCAGAAGCACAGACATAGTGCACTGTGTACATGTTTTTTTTTCCCCAAGTCCATAAGCTCTTTGGTTCAGTGCCATTACACCATTCAGAGAGATCTGCTATAAATCTTGCAAGCCCCATTTAAATATTATTGCCTTTTCTGGAAAGAGAGAGCATCGTTTAATTGAGACCCGGAGCGCTGCCCAGTTTCAAGAGGTCAGTGCGACCCAGCGAGGTTATTCCTGGCATATTTCAGCATCGGCCAGCATATTAACCTAGCACAGCAGCAGCTCTCAACCACGGAGGAAAGACAACTCATTCAGGAGGCCTTATCATACTAAAAATAGAATGAGTATTTCCACAGGAAAGGCAGTTGCTGCCTAATTCTAGAAAAAAAAATGACTTTGTGTGAAGCTTTGTGTGAAGGAGAAGAATAATGTTTCCCCCTGTCACACTTTCTGCTAACCTCCTCACAGGAATCTGCCATGGAAAGTGAAGGAAAACATCTTAAGTGCATTTAGTTTCAAATCAGCCCTTTCAACAACACATCTAACAGTGCAGCTTCTCCTGTCTCTCTCTCTCTCCCATGCTCTCTTTTAAATTTGAGTAAACATCCCCAGTGAAGTAAATCATGGGTGAAGAGGACACAACCAAATGAGCTAACCCTCCCACCGCCTGTCCTACAGAGCATGTCTAAGCCCATCAGTCACTGTCTAAGCACTGAGAAGTGAGGGCTGGTGCTGTAAAACTAGGCTGAACTCTAAAAATTTCCCCTCTTCCCCCATCACTTTGGTTCAGCTGAGATACACTGCCCTTGTTAACAAGTGGACTGAGCAGTCCACTGGACCACTGACCGCTGTGAGCCAGGCCACTAATCACACCCTAAAATGGTTTAATATCAAAGAGTTACATCATTGTCTGAGCAATATACGGCAAACTACACAGGACATCTTGTAACTGATGTGCTGCCATTTGTTCTCACCGTGTTCTACTGCTCTTTCAAAGATAAATAAAGGGTCAAATCTCATCACAAAAAAAAAACAACACAACCGCATCACCCACAAAACAGAACAAAACCTACTGTTATTGAGAAACAGTAAAGACAGAACTTGGTGAAAACTTTCTAAGATTTAAGTTTTTAAGCCTTTGCTGCCTGGACTGTAGGGGTCTCAGCTCTAGACTGTAAAAGAAAAAACTGTCCAAGAAGGGCGATCGTCTGTATCTATGAATACAGAACATTTAGTCCATTCAGTCTTATTCTGTCATCCCATAAAGACTTGATCTTACCTTGTTCCAACACAGCTTCATTTGTCCTGTTCTGATCTGTTCTGATGGCAGCCAGTTACAGATACTGAGACACTACAGTGGAGTACAAAGAATAACAAGTCTGCATCTATTTTCAACAACAGGGAAGGAAAACATCTAATAACAAAACTGTACTAACAGTCTTTTGCATCTAAAATAGAATCAAAACTAGTTTGTCCAGCCAGTTCCTTTTGTTACTTGTTGCATGTTGATAAGCAGACATTTGAGTCTATTTTTGGCAAAGGGCAAAACAATGATACTGTGGGAAAGCAAACAAATTCATACAAAAGCTCTTAGTTCACAGAAAAAACAGCGATACCACTGTCCGGTACGAGTTGATAGCCCTCCAAGGCTTACAGCACATCTTACAGTTTTTATTCATGATAAAAAACACATAACGTTGAGAAGTCAGAGCAACAATTTGCTGTACTTGCACATATCTAATTCAACACTGCAAAAACAGGCCTGGCCTCACATCTCTTGAGCCCAACTCATCACACTGCTGTCCCACTAACACACTGAACTCATAGATGGTTGTGGCCTAAACAATTATCTAAGGCGTGTCTTTTGTATAGTAAGAGAGCAATACGTACTGTGTGTGGTAGCAGTAGTAGTAGGTTGTGTCAACAGACCCGCTGATAAGCATCAGTCAACATGTTTTAAAATGTGCATGAACAAACATCCAAGTGTTTTATCCAGCTTTAAGGGCAGAATAGTCTTGTTTACCTCTCCTTGTATTAAATCAGGAGAGGAGGGGACAGCAGGTTGTTGTCTCTGACTATATCCTCTGCTTTATCTGCTGTAGTACACACATTACACAGCTGCACAAAAACCCGTACTGAGAAGCTGTGGGAGAGCTTTGTAACCACCTTGGCTATGCACACTTTCTCCTCTATTACTAGCTTTTGTGTTGTGGCAGAGCAACATACCTCTTGTGGCTCTAAATGTTTAGCTGTAGCTGGGTTGAACACTTCATGCAACATATCTCTTCCTTCATCCAACCAGCGACACATTATTGCTCATTCGCACACACACCAACAACACAATGATGAGACTACTTGAAAAGGCACCGGTGCTTGGCAATTACTGCATAATTATAGGTGAGTCCCACTGGTGGACTTTTAAGGGAAGGGACACAGCATGCAGAGAATTAAGAGGGGGAGGGAAAGTAGTCGCAGGGTTTCATTAGTGTCCAATTTCAGCCAACAAGAACTCCCAGAAGTCCAAGTTCAGAGTGAGCTTTCACATATCCGGCAGCTCTGTGAAAAATCATTATGTACGTCTGTATTTTATATATGAAAATCTGTTCTAAAGCTACTCTTGTTCATACAATATTCAACATTTGAGCATCTTTTGTTTATAAAAAATGTGCTGTAAATGTAATGTACAGAAAAAAAAAAAAAGTACGGCTATTTTTTTTGTGTCAATCCTGAAACTTTCATCACAATATTTCAAATGATATATATCTCAGCTTAAGCAATTTATCTTGACTCTTTAAAACATACTGATACTAAATTGTGTTATAAATGATTCTATGTCACTAACTGCTCATATGTTGGCATGATGGAGCGTTTCACTTCACTCACGCAGAACGGTTACTGGTTCTAAATAAGGCCATCAGACACAGTATCCCTCCGACAGAAGGTTTACTGGTAATGCACTCATTCCATATACAGTCTATGTGGATGCTGTTTCCTACTTTATCAAAATTTGTGAAGAACAGAAGAGGAATACTTAACACATCCGTGAGTTGATTTTTGCCCTTTCTGGTGCCTGAATAAGGTTATAATTTCATCTTTC